GCCAGACACTCCAGCTCTGGACTCGAAATCTCTCTTGAAAAATCTCCAACCCCACTAGACCCGTGTCAAGTCCACCCCCTTCAGTCTAATCACCCCCCTCAAATTCGAGAAAACCTAGAAGAGCTTAGCACCAAAGCTGAAGTCCCTCCTCCAATACTCAAGTCACTGACACTCGACTACCTGGACAGAAACTTCCAAGCAACCTGTGGAATCGAGTTTACACAGATGGATCAGCAACTGATGCAGTCAGAAACGACGGTGGAGGTATCTACATAGATTGGATAGATGGGACAACAGAAAGCCATTCCATCCCCACAGGATCTCTATCTTCCAATTACAAAGCAGAAACATCAGCACTCGAAACAGCAGCCACCATTCTCTTGAATCACCAAAAATCTAAAGCCAACACCGTCATCCTCACAGATGCCAAATCTGTCCAACAAGCTCTCCAAAAGCCACAAACAACTCCTTTCACTCCTATGTGATCTAAACTCCCAAGCCAACACAACTCTGCAGTGGATACCAGGTCACTGTGGCATTCATGTAAATGAAAAAGCAGACGACTTAGCCAAAGAAGGAGCCAAAATGAGCTCTCAGAGTCAAAAACACTGATAAAAACTGCTTTAATAAACAGATGGAAAAGGTCCCAGCCTAAGCGCAACAGACATGACCGGTACTACATACTAAATATAGCAGACCAGGTCACAATCTTTATACTCCGTTGTGGCCACAACAGACTCAAACACCATATGCACACCAAATTAAAAGTGAGAGAGACAGCGATCTGTGAATGTAGACACGACCAAGAGGATGCCAACCATATCCTTCAGCACTGCCTGCGCTACGCCACCTTTCGCAAACAGACGAGGCAGAATGTGGCTCCCCTTGAGAGAAAACTCTATGGCAGTCTCTCAGAGTTGAAACGAACTACACAGTTTGTGCGCGACATCGGACTGACTGTCTAGCTGCTGTCATCGAGAACGAGGAAGAAGAAGAAGAAGAAGACAAAGCGAGCAATGAATTCACAACAGTTTGATGATATTCATTAACTGCCATCAGAGCTCTTGTAAAGGAAGCTATAGCTGGTTGGGTAAAGTTTCACTCATTTAAAGTTTTACATGAGTGTCAGCGCTATTCTTTTTTTTTTCTTTTTTTTTTTGTTGATGGTTATCTGGTTCCTCTACGAAGGTTCAGTTATTTATGTAGCTCTTTTAGGAGTTAGTCGTTTTCGATAATTTGGCATGTTTTTATGTTTGAGGAACGTCAAAACAAAGGTTTTCATTATCGCTCTCCTAATGACTTGGTATTCATATTAGTCTGTCGCCTCCAACATCGCAATACTATCTCATTAGTACAATCTGACAGCAATAACGACAAAACTGACAGCTAGACAGTTTTCTAAATAATATTCAAAGTACGCTAACAGATCAGTATGCGTAATGGGAGAATCTATTGATTTCCAGTGTCGGTGTAGACTCCATCAACGGGATATAACCGTGCGAGTGATGGTAATTGTGGCTTAATATATGTATTGAACGCCGCTATAACAACATGCCGGATGAGATTCAAATGTGAGCAAAGGTCTGTTTTTTTTCCTCAACCGGCCTGGGTTGTGTGTCTAATGTCCAGATCTTCTCAACCATTGCCGTGTCCAGAAGGACAAGAAGTTTGGAGAACTAAGCCCTCTCTTGAAGAAAAAAGCCTACCTACTCGCTGATACACATACACGCTGATACACATACACACGCTACTCGCATGTACACACACGCGCGCGCGAGCGCTCACAAACAAACACACACACACACACACACACACACACACACATACCTACACACACACACACACACACACGTGCGCTCACACACATACACACATATTATAGGCTACATACATTCACTCGCGCAGACACACACGCAAACACCATACACATGTACACACACACATACGTGCGTACGCGCGCGTGCGCGCGCGTGTCCGCGCGCGTGTCCGCACACACACAGACACACACACACACACACACTCTCTCTCTCTCTCTCTCTCTCTCT